AAATAGTTGCTCAAAACATCGAAATCCGCATCGACCTGCTTACACATGTGCCATCATCAAGGATCCGAGACATTCGCGAGATAGGGTTAAATGACTATTGAAAATGAATCTCCAATAACGAAACTCAAAGCAATATTGAACTAATGAAAACATTGCTCGTTGTTTGAGCGGAGATCTTTCACCATGTCCAACGTAAGAATGACTGAAGGTTCCTTTGAAAGTCTGCTCAAGTTTAGTGTTTAAACCAAAAAAAAGTATAAAGTTTTCGATAGGTGTTGTTTTTCGACATAAAACAGTATAGGTCCCGATTGTCCCCGCTTTTGTAAAGGTGAAAATTGTGGAACCCTTTTGTGCGATGTTTTATGATTTACAATTTCGCACAACTTCCAAACCGTTGCGATAGCCTTTTAACTATGTCACTCAAGTCATGGAGGTGATGATCTTTCAATGAACCATTAATAGGGTAACATCCAGAAAACTCCAAAAGAGGGCCCGTAAAATCGTAAGAGACAGCGCAGCTGTCCCGTTAGTAAACAAAAGATCCTAGTTCACGAAAGAATTGAAAACCCTACAGGAAAGACTACAACATGAATTTTACTGTTCAACAACACGCAAAGGACTCATTCTTGAAGGGCAGCTTGATGTTACTGGTGAAAAGTTCAAAGTAAATTTCTCTTGGACTCGACTTTGGTCTTTAGCACCCAAGGACACTTACTTTATTCCAAGTTTTTAAAGACTTATACAGGCATTTTTGTAGGTTAACCAAATAGGTTTAGAGTTTGTATCAATTTGATGTAGTTCCCTTCAAGACACTGAAAGGTTTAGTTTTACTAGTTTAAGTTGTTTTTGAGTTAGATAAATGTAAGTGAACCGTTCCCAAAAGGGTATCATATAATCCAATTTCTATTGTCAAAAAGATAATGGAAAACGTTTCCAATGATGATTTTGCAATATAAAGCAAGTGAAAGAAGTTAAGAGTTTGTAAGTTTTGTTTTTAAATATCTCTCTAGACTGACTACGATATTACGCCCTATTAAAAACAAAAATTTAAACGAACCGGTAAAACGAAGTGTGAGATCTATTGGAAACATAATGCTAATTACTGAAGCATGATATGATGTAATTGTAGAGTATTCATTGGCTGAGTCAAATTGATTTACGCGCCGTTAGTATCGGATCTGAGCCAGAAGCCCCATCAAAGCTCTTCCAATCACGCGGGTTTGTTGTGTGATGGTAGATAGCCAGATGGGGAATTTTAGCTTCGCGGGTTAATTACCATCTCTAAACCAGCGTGCGTAAGTGGAATGAGATAACTTACTGAGTAGTTTGCTCGGAACGGCATATATGTGAGATATATATTCCGTAGTATAACCGTTATAATATCAAAGTGCCTTGGAATAGTATTCGTTAGGTCTAGAGTTAAATGGTGACATTAATTTGTAGTATCTCAACTTTTGATAGCAGGTGCGCATGCGCAGCTCATGTGCCGTAATTTATTTTTTCATTTGATTTTTACCTGAGCAATTCTGAAAAGTCTACTTTACATACTGACAAAATGTGTTCAAAGATAATATTACGAGATACGTTAACTATGGACTTGGTTCGTCTTTATGTTGTATACTTTTTTATGAATTACGTACTTCATGACAAATTGCTTTCTTAGGAGTATACTGCTCAATTTCCAGGTTGCAATAGGTTCATGGCAGAAGTAAAAGTTGCCTTATTAGCAAATTTGTCTAAGTCATACTTGTCTCTTAGTCCCACGGCGTAACCTTCAATTTTTGTTATTGTTTTTTCATGATTGCAAAGCTCCTTTATCTATATATATTTTCCTGCTGGTATTGATTGGGAAGGTTTCCTTTTTTCGACATTATTCGTAATACTTACATAACTAAGAATCATGAGCAGAGAAAAATTGAANTCAATACATACATACAATCTATTTTTCATTCATCTGTGAAATTTTGTGGACTCAGATGTTAGCTCTCGGTTAAATACATGTTACTCTTCGATAGATTTAAAATTTTGACCAGTTCTTAGCTATCAGTTGAGCCCCACGCAAGAATTCGAACTGAACTTATTAAAACTTAACATGAAATGTGGCTACCACGGGCGACTAACTCTCGGCAACGAAAAACCAAAACAATTTCTAACGCGACTTTACAATATATTCAACCTCAATCGGGAAGGAACGGTTAAAACTACAGTGAAAATAACAAGCGAAAACCTATTACAATATAAATTGAGCTAAATACGCCTAAAACAAAATACGCTTAGGAAAACTGCAACGGAAATAATGATGGAAACTACGCAATACAAAACTTAAATTCGTTACGATGCTGAAGAATTACTGCCTAACGGTGAAGAAGCTACACGACATGTGGTATGGTGAAATATAGTTGTGGAAATGCTGAGTAAAACTGAACAAACCACGATGAACAATACGGTTTAAATACATGCTATGTTACGTAACGTTACGAAATGATAGAAAGCATAGCGCACGCAAAATGTCTACTGCAGTTAGTGCCGTTTGTAAAGGAACAATAAACAAAAGAAGGAGGGCAAGGCGTTTGTGATCTACATGAGTGGAAAGGAGAAGTGGAAAGGAGTGATTGAGCGATGGATTCAGGGAGTGAATTTTGGGCACAACAACAACATTGAAATTTGCTTTCAGCCATTTTGCCACTGAAACGATTTCCTGTAACAACGTTTGCACTCCATCATTCGTGGCGGCTTTACATGATATTAAGGCCGCCAAGAAAGATGGGAATGTTCACGGACGGACTCACGGACACGATACCAGGGAGTCTATGTTGCCATGGGCTACGTAAACTCGACTTTTGAGTATGGGAGAGCTGATATCGACCGTAATTGCATTGCCGAATCTTTCCTGAGAGTTACATCTGGACAAGTTGTTATAATCTGTCAAAACCCATCAAGTAGTAAAATGTAGGAATGGACATCACCATAAACATGAAATAACCTTCTGGCGGATTTAATTTGTTGCTTATTTCACTAATGATTACTTTGAAAAAAAACATGTCTCATGGCCATCGCGGAGCGATCACGATGCGCAAGTACTATTTACCTCCGATCCGGCCGATAGGACAAAATCACGCGTCAAGGGTTTACTCTCCGACCATCTTTCAGTACATTTATAGAAATAAACTGTTTTTTCTTAAGTCTGCTTCCTGGTATACACTAGAACAACTATTCACTTCTACTTCGGTGAATGATTTTAAATATTAAAACTTTTGGCAAAACATTTTTTATCGCATTTGAGTATATACTAATTCTGGCTGATATTCTTCATAAAATATACCATCATGCCACAGCTGGAGCCTTAGATATATTTCCATTACCATTTTATAATGTCCGCTAGGTTGGTGCCGTTTTTGTCGTAGATTAAGTTCACTTACAGACAAAGGGTACAAAGAGGCATCCCTAACAGCGGTTCGTCGAGAAATCATAAAGATTTACCCATTTGTTTTCCCATGCCAGATTTGGCATCTTAAAACAGGAAGACCCGTGTTGGAACGTGCGTTTATGCGGGATGTTCAGCTAGAGTCGTTTACTTACATCTGTCATGTGTCGTGTTTTGTAAACAGATGGGCAATGGAAATAGCGTGCTCTGATTTTTCAGTTTGTAACATTGCCATAATAACAGCTATTCGATACTTAGAGGGAAGTTTGTGCCTCGTACTTCAGCGGAAACCACCCATGGATTTGAAGCCAGCACAGGTTCCAGGCCTCGAGGGCGATCGTACCAACAAAGTGGAGGAGTTACTAGAAGATTTGCTGGAGAGAGACATGGTTCTGGGGTTGAGTGAGGAGCTAAAGCGGAAAGTGAACCTTAGCACTGAAAGTGTACTGAGACGAATCAAAGGGCTTGAGAATGTGACTGTTGAGCATAAGGTCAAGAGCATAGTGAAAGCAAAATGTGAGCTGAAGGATGAGCTACAGTGGTTAATTCAACGAGAGAAAGAGTTGGAGGAGAGCTGGCAGAGAGGGGAACTCTGGGAAGAGAGAGAACTGGAGCAAGAACAACTACAGTATCAGGTAAAGAGTAAATTTAAACAAGTAATGGATCTGAGGAAGAAGTTAAAGGCCGAACTAGGGCACGAATCGAAGGATGAGATAGTTTTTCTAGTACGGTACGTAGTGGGGTACTGGTTCTTGATGTGGCGTTTATACGAGAATGTATGGCGGAGCTGGGGGAAAAACTGAGCTTGGAGGTGAAGCACTTGTAACCAAAGTTAAGGGAAGAAGTGGAATTGTTACTTCAACGAGGGCGCGTGCCGGAGTATGAATTGATTGGAAGAAACCGAGGCCTGAAAATCGATCAACCGGAGGTGAAGCTAAAACAAGGGCTGAAGTTGCCAGTTGATCGAGTGCATGAGTTACAGAATAAGATAGCTTGTTTAGAGGAACTAGAGCGGATTCTGGAAACCGGACACCGGAGACAGGCGCTCGATCAGGAGGAGTCGAATTTCAAACAGAAGCTGGAGTTCCTACTTGAACGAGAGCGTGGGTCACGACATGAAATGCAGTACAAAGATTACCAGGTGCTGAAGTTTGTACTCGATCAAGAACGTCGGTGGAAGGGAGAGCTTCAGGAGCGTGAAGAGAACTCAGTTGCTTTTCTAATTGAACGCAATCGTGAGCTAGAGCATGAGCGAGGAGACGTACATGTAAACCTTGAGCAGGAGCTGGGGAGAGAATGGATAGCTGAGACCTGGAAAACGTGGACTTTGCTATCTAAATGTGAGCGTTAGCTGACTAGTACAGAATTTGCGTGGATGAGAAACCGATTCCATGAGCTCGAACAGCTTGAGGTAAGTCTGACAGCTCAGGAGGAGCTTGAGAGCTTACTTATAAAAGAAGGAAGACTGTATGATGAACTGACCTCTGATAGTGAACCAAGTGTAAGACAGTTTGATCGGATGATGGAAGACCTAGTCTATGATTTCGAACTGTCCCAGATATATCCAACAACTTAGGATATTATTTACATGCAGATAAAGGTACTGTCGACTGATTTGTGAGGATTTTAGACCGCCTTTTTCTAGAGGTAAACAAAGTGAATAGAGGAATCGAAGAAAAAGCTTGAGACTTTAAAAGAGAGGAAGCGAGAGCTTATGCATGAGATGGAGATGGAACTAAATAGAAAGAAAGACCATGAGGTCAAAGGTGCGCAAAGTTGGACGGCATGGGTGGAGAATGAGCTTATGCCCAAAGGTATAGAGAATTTGATGATGAAGAAATACCGTTGGCTGAGGCTAGATATGTTGACAAGCAAACTAAAAAAGCAACTGGAACAAGGGCTTGAAC